CCCTGGAAATATGCAAACTTTTTGTAAAAAGTAGCTGATACAGTCTGTAAAAATTTTGCCTTAATTTTGAGCTGCAATTAAAAAAACAAGGAAACAATATGCCCGATCCTGTAAAGTTTTGTCTCTTTCCTTTGCAGACCAAGAACTGTCCCATTGATCCTGCCTACGTTATAAAAAGAGAATACAACTCTAATGTGATGGCAAAGAGCCAAAACAGTGAATATTATGCCAAGATGATGTTTTAACATTCAGCTCTTTCTGGCTGGTCAGAATCCCCTCCACCAAGCCTACACTTCACAGTCCTGAAAGACAGAAGGTAATGTGACATAACACACGTGATCTCAATGACAGGCATTGAGGGTGCCCAGAGCATTTCAGATTTAAAGCCAGCATCCTATGAAAGAGGTAGCCAAACAAATAACTTTAATACATGGCCCGGCACTGCAGTTTTCATTCAGTGAGAACGCAAAATGAGATGTGAGCAGAGTTTTGACTACGTCATTGGCAGATTCTACACAGGTATCATCCTAGACCAGAGATCAACAATTTACTAGATTTTTTCAGTTTTTTTAATGTACAATTCTATAACAGAAGATGTTAAAGGCACTTACCCTCTTCCTGTGGGGACTAATTTCTAGCTTCATCACTGCACATTTGTTTAAAGTATTTAGGCGCCTGCAAAGCAAAGCAAACCATATTAAGAGAATAATCCATTTTTTTTGACACAGGCTATTCTAGTTCAAAAGCTTTTGTGAAGGCTATGCCCAAACTTCTTTGCATACAAATAGCCACAAGCAGAGCTTCCATTAGAGCACTAATTGTACTTAATAATTAACCCATTACATTTGGCTGTATTCTGGCTACAGGAGGAGGGATGGATGACTATTTTATCACTTTTCCCCTAATCAAAGTTAAGAGAAGTGAACAGAAACTTAGGCTAAATTGAGAAGTGCCTTGTAATCAGTTAACTGTAATAATTATGTTTAAATGTCAAACATCATTTTATACCTAACCCTGAAACAATCCAAAAACTGCTCCTAGGATATGGCTTAGCCCAAAACCACATACGGGTAAAGACTGGTTAGAGAAATGCTAGTGCTAGGGCAAGGCAAAGGGCAGTGACAGGCTGGGACGGATGCAGAAGGGAGAAATGCTGAAGTCAAGGAACTGCAGCCATCACGCGAAAGCTGCTCCGGGGAAGCTACGGTTCAGTTTGATAACGGCCAAAAGCAACAGGTCGAAAGAAGACGCCCTGCCCTTTCTTCGGCCCCTGCTCCTCATGCCTCCCTCGTGCTAATACTTGCATTTGTGAGGCTGTGCTGCAGGCTGCATGAGGGATCTAACTGAGCTGAAAGCTAATCATTCAGTATTTTGTTGGGCTGAATTCCTCCCAGATCCGTTCCCTGAGCTGCATGAATGGTTGTCTGCGGAGGCAGGAGGCAGAGTAGCAGAGCTGCTCCCTTTATACAGTGGGACTGCAGCCCAAACTCACCAGGAGCAAAACTAGGCTTTTAAAGCCCAGCTTCATTCTGAGGGAAGTTGTATAATTTTCACATAATTCCTTCAAACAAAATATAAAGGGGAGCCTGTATTAGCAGTTTTGAAAAGCTGGAAAAAAAAATGCTGACTTGTTCTGTTGCCTCAGATGAGTCTCTTCAGATTCATGAAACCCGTAACTTGAAGCTAGAAAATGTGTGCACAGGAAGAATTACTAGCTTCCTCCCTTTCCTCTCTCCTTTTATGCGCAGGATTGGTTGCAGATGGTATTTACACAGGGCTTGATCCTGAGGCCATCAAAGAAAATGGAAAAGCTCCTACTGGTGCTTTTGCTGCAGTTGTGAAGTTAAAAAAAAAAAAAGATGGTTTGATCTATAATTAGACCCAGTCACAACACAGCAGAAGGAAAACAAGAGTTGCCATGGGTCACGCAGTAGGCCAGTGGCAGGTTAGGAAAGTTATCCAGATCTCCCAATTTTTATGTTTTCTCTGTCTTAAAAACCTAGTAGGCACAATCTTTTTGGCTGCAGTTGGTGGACACATGCACAAGTCTACCGCATTTCAGAAGAGCTGTTTACTGCGTGGGTGAAGATCACCTGTCCCATGTACGCGCTACACAACAAAACTGGTATTTTGTTTGTTTTGGTTATAAGAGGCCACACACTGTAGAAAGTGTCTTCCTTTCTCTGTTTTAAAAATATTCTGTTTTCAAACTCCTGGGCCTCAATAGCAGGGCCTAACTTGGTTTCAGTTCCACATTGTGTAATAATTTACGCACCTCACAGCGTTGGAACCTTTGACTTACCTGGAAAAAAGCTACCACTGATTCCTAGTATCAGGTTTTATCTAGCTCCCGCCTGTTGCCTTTAACTAGCCTGTCTAACTGCTAGTAAAGACAGTCTTGGATTTCAAAGATTAAATTCACAGACTTTTCTCCTACTCAAATTAAAACCTAGAAAGAGGTGAAGGAGGGAAGAGCAAAGACTGTTTCCAAAAAGGTCCTTAAAGAAGACTGCAGGAAAGATTCCCAGTGTGCACCTCACAGAAATGAATATGAAGGCACAATATAACAATATGAAATGAATGAAGATGAGGTAACCCCCAATGAGCAAGAATAAACACAGCAGCAGCCAGGCACATATAGGTTCTGTTACAGATCTGACATGATTTCATTACAAAACCACTTTCCTTTTTAAAATCTAAATACTCTGCAGTGATTGCTTCAGGTCTATAAATTTCATTATTTATATATATATATATGTATGTATCACACATCCCACTTTAACTTGAGGACTCTAGTTCAAAGGTGTGTAGTTCTTTGAGCTATATTATATTGAAAATACAGTATAATAGGCAAAAGGTGCCCTCAAAACACATTCCTGAGTTTGCAAAGCTGAGCACATGAAGTTCAGGCTTTGCCAGGATGAGAGTTACCTACAGAACTTTAATTAACCTTCACTTTGCATATGCATTGCAATACTTTTAAGCACACACTCATTTTCTACAGATCTCATCAAAATGATGCTTGTGAATAAACCGCAGTTTTCTCTTCCAGCTCCAGACCTTATCTACGGTAATTTCATTCCCAAGTATAAATTCAACTTATCACTTCTCTACCGACAACTATCAGCTGTGTCTCATTCTTTAGCTCTTTCTCACTCTGCCCCAACCTGTCTCTGCGACATCTCTGCGTGGAAGCCACGAGGAACGGGGCAGGACTGCTGTAGTCGGCAGCTACATCCACTTAGACTGGTTGCTATCTCAGGCTCAATTTCTATAACAACTGCTATCCCGGCCACTTTCTTTCTGGATGACTGTGGGCAAGAATATTATCTTCTTCATCATTTAGATAATCATCTTTGAGTCAGACTTCTCTCTGTAGGTCTTCAGATCCAAACTATATCTCAGCCCTGTAGAGTATCTCTGCATAACTTCTCAAAGATGTCACTTTTCCTAGTCCTCCACACAGGCAGAACTCTTATCCAGGCTCTTATCCTCCTTCATCCTGGCTCTGCAAAACCCTTCTTCCTGACAGTGATCAGATGCAACTGTACCTGGTCCCAGTACCTAAGTCTTGACTGGCCTGCATCCATCCTAAACTGCAAGTACAGGAAAACTTGTATTTTTAGTGTGCACAGAGCACACTTGTGAACTTCCAGTCATCTTCTACAGAGCATGTAGGAAATACTCTAGTCAAAGACAGAAATCCAAGCCAAGATTTCATGGGAATGGTAAGAGGTGGTTATCTGACACAGCATTCATCACTGCACAAAATTCCACGCTACTGTACCCAAAACATGAGGCACTGGTGCACCTCTAAGATATGAGCAAACAAGGCATTTTTCCTAGTCTTTTTCTCCAAAATGGTCAAACTGGCTTAGCTATAAATTCTTTTAAGAAAGGCAGCCTGAACAAGACATTCACTGTCAAAAATACCAGCCTAAACAGATATTTATAAATTATGGCCTTGTAATAGAAACTCTTAGTTAATCTAAACACCAGTCAGCTCTACATCAGCTATAACCATTTTCAATCTGCATAACCATATGATCTAGCTTTAAATTTTAGTTTGAAGTATTTTCGCAATGGATTTAAATTCTTAATTCCTTATTTCAGGGCAAATTCCAGCCCATTATACCGGTAAGTGATTATACAAGGGCTCTCTTATCTCAATTCAGAGGAAAGTCTTTATGCTGGCTCGTGGGGTCCATCTGCATGTTCTAACCTGCAAAGCAGGCCAGCTCTCTACAAACCAAACCATACGAGGAGCCAAGGCTGGAGCCATGCTAATCTGTTACAATCAATTTCTTGGAAGAGAAATCCTGAACGTAAAAGATTTAAGAAACCTTTTGCTCAAGTAATGTGGCAGTTTTCTAGTTACGTATAAGAAGATTAAATAGGATTTCCACCATGGCTTGCTACGTAATTTGTACTTATGAACAACCTTTAGGATAAGCATGTTTCAGTACTCACTTTCATCAGCACATTAGGCAGCCAGTAACCCATCATTAATTTACATAAAGTCTTACTGCTTTGCACAATCACTATATGAAGCATCCTAGCATCACTCTTACATTTTTAACCCTATATTTCATGACGAGATCACACAATGACATATATTTTCTATTGTTACCAAGTACCATATACTATCTCTGTAATCCAAGTCTCAACCTACATTGTAGTTAAAATTTTTCAAGAAAATCCTGAACAGGATGGCTACTGACACCTTTTCCATTTAGGCAGGAACTTTGCAACATGTTTACTAATAAGCTATATTGAAAGTTATATTACTTTTCCTGCTCACAATGGTTAGATTACTAAACAATAATTTACAGATGTTCAGATATAATTCAAAACGCTTCAAACTTCAGACAACCCTTTCATTGTGATTTCTATGGTCTGTTTCAAAATTATTTTTTCCTTCTATAGGAGATGCAGTAATTAGAACAAGATAATTAGAATTGCTAATAGTACAGTGGTTGCTCAACAGCAAAGTAGATTCTCAGCACAGGGCAGAGGAAGTCAAGCACAGAGGACTTGTTACTTTGCTACCATCAGCTGCATAGACTACTCATTAAAATCTGTGCTGAAAATGCAAAAGCACCCCTAAGCTATTATGATTTTCAGTCACGAAGCAGAAACAGACTTATGGTTGTGTAACAGCTCTAGGTCTTTTACTGAGTACAATTATTTACTGTTTACACGCTGACCATGGCATCAATCAAAATAAACCCAAGTTTCAGGAAGAAACACAGAAGCATTCCGAATGATGCACCTTCTCCACATTCCTTAATGAGTTCACAAAACTGAATGAGGAGATGTGGAGAAAAAAAAATCTGAAGGTTAAAATGTGATAACATACTGCTTGTCTCCCACTAATGATAAAGGGCCAAATCAGACCTCAGAGATGATGAACTGAATAAGTTCAGTTTTTATTTTGAGGTGGGATCTGAATGCTTCTGTGACAATTTTTGCTTCAGTTTTAAAATTGTTCTTAATTTGCAGAAAATAATTCTGACAGATAGGCCACAGGGTTCAAAATGATACAGCTCAGCCTTTAAAAGCCCTATCACAAGCTACAAGACGACCTGTGGCTTCTCTTGCAAATTATACAGCATATTATAATTTGAAGAAGGAAGTGAACAGATATCACAAAATACGTATATAAGTACATCTTCTTGGGATGGTTAAAGACTTACAGAATAAGATTCCATTTTTAGGAGACATATCCTTTTACTGTCCTCTAACTTCAGAAAAAGTGGTAACTGCTTTTATGGTTCCTATTAGCAGCAAATCTCAGAGAGATATTCAGCACATATTCTTACTTTAACCAATGAGAAGCAATCAGCTGCCTTTTTTCTCATATACATAAAAATCCCAGGTTAAAAAAAAGTATTCCTGCAGGAGAGCACTAGATCCAAAATAAGTTGGCTTGACTACATTTTGTTTTCCTGGCAAGGGAAGACCATTCTTCTGGGAACCAGCATTTTTTCACACCATCAAGCTTTCTGCTCAATAACTTCACAAGTTTCAGAGCACACAAATAATCAGACTGATGTGTCACATTTTAGTATCAATGGAGTAGATGCCTTGCACCACATCTCGAATTAAAATTAATGAGATTTTTCCCCTCCCAAAGACTGGGCAATGAATCTATTTTCTTAGCTTTAAAATCTTGTAAATATTTTTGAAGAACTTTAAATTCCAGTTCCTCTCTTTTCCTTCCAAGTATGGCAGTGATGGCATGAGAACGCTATAAACTTAAAGCCGTTCTTAAAAGGAGTTTGCAATTCTTTAGAATTCCTGACATTTAGAACTGCAGACATTATATACATGTAGGATTCAAAAACATTCATTCTGCGGGCAATTTGGAAAGCTGCCATAATGAAGGACAGAAGCAGAAAACTCCGTTCACATCTAGGCAATAGAAGATAAGAAAAGTTAAGGTATTTATGCAATTTGAGATTGTGGACTCACGCTAGAGGAGGTAACTGACGGGTGGACCAGCGTCAGTGTCATTGTTACTGCTTTTACAATAAAATTGGCAATGCTGAGGCTGTAGTTCTGTAATAACACGCTGACTGTAATAACACACAGGCAAGTCTTGCTCCCTCTTTTTCTATCTGTCCCTCTTCCTGTCCCTGCAATTGGCTCTGGGGTCCTGCCTCATCCTTTGCACCAATTCTGAAGCTCATTAGAAGTCTCCCTGAGCTGATTCGATTTACTAACCCTGCAAGGAACCACCTAGACTTTTTTGCTGGGTGATTGAGTCAAACTGATTTGTGGAAGGAGCCCGTAAACAACAAAGACAAGTAATGGGAGTGTGTAGTTGGGGGAAGGTCAGTCTTTGCGGTAGTGGTAAAACTCTCAGATTCGCTCACACTGTCCCTTGCAAGCATGTCCGTATTCATTTTGGTGAACACCATGCTCGTATGGTGATGCAGAGGTCAACATGATCGTTTACACAGTTGCTCTCCAACGTAAGAAAGAAGAGGAACAGAGTGTAGCAGCATGGCTTTGCTACCACTGCTCTCAAAAAATAATTCCTGCATGGGGCTGATGCTACAGTTGTATTTACAGGTGGTTCTGCCCAGAACAGTTCCACTTCCATGTGGTTTACTAATTTGGGAATCAGTAATGAAAACAAATAAAGAATATTAATAAAAAGTATGACTATGCAATACTTGTCACAAAGACTTGCCATTTTCTTCCCAGTTTGGTTGTAAGTAAGATCTTCAAACGTTATTTAGCCTAATATATTATTTAAATAGAGAATGCTTACACTCCGGGGCTAATAAAACAGGCTTAAGTGAATGATTAGTAAATACGTAATTCAGCTGCGGTTAGGCTTTTCAAAGGTTATGCTTCCTGTTAAACAGGAAGAGCTTTGTTTCAAAATCCAGTGCGTATTTTTTTTACCTACCTGCATAGGGCCTCAATAGCATCTCTGTCCAGAAAGTCATGCTCTCGCTTGACTACAGTGATGTCAATGGGAAACAGGAGATCTGCAGGAATAGAGACAGACGAGAAATCAAAAAGACTCTTATTCCCAGTGGTGAATTATTTCAAAACAACCAGATGCCTCCAGTTCAGCTCAGCAAGATGCAAGTGACTGGCACTTCTAAAATAAACACATCATAGCGTCACAAATGCCAGTGAAATGCTTACTTTTCATGTAAAAGCTTTTGACACACAGCTTTGATGACGGAAAGTTCATGTGCATAACGGGTCAAAAAAATGAGCAAAATAAAGATGAAACACTGTGACGGGGAGCGAGGCAAATGGGATCCCCCTATCTGACATCAGAAGCTGAAACTGATGCAGGCTAGCTTTATTTAAAATAAATATACAATCTCCATCAAAGTACTAATATCTCACATTAAAGGAAAAAGGTCAGTGAAGCCGAAATCTCTGGAAAAGAATGAAAAACAAAAACTCCTTGGCTGTTAATCAAGCTATTTAGATGTTTAACACTATAACAACATTAATGAGATATGGACTGAAATGAAAGAAAGCCAAGCTGCTCGGAGGCCCATACTGCCTCCTTTCCCTAAAAGATTATTTAGATAAACAACTGGGAGAGCGAGGAGGAGGAAACAATGTTGGCAGAGCGCTGAAAATTTACTATAGCTCTGAAGGAGCAACCAGATATATATTATTTACTGTCCTCCACAGATTCCTCACTGGCATATAGGTCCTGATCCTGCATTCCTTGCACAGCCAAAACTCCCACCAAAGCCACTGGGTGTTCAAGGCACACAGCAACACAACAACAAACTCTGAATATACTGCTGCAGTTGCACTCAACTTTCCTGGTCCAAGTGATTGACTATGAAAGATTTTAATCTCCAGGGACTAGGGAAGAGTCAGTTACAATGACGAAAAGAATAGGACTGATAGGAAAGGCGGCTAACGTTATGTTTTTTAGACCAACAGTTAATCTGTCAAATGATTTTTTCCCTAATTTTGCCTCAGGAATAAACAAATAATGACATATTCTGCGAAACACAGGAAATATTGGCTTTTCTATATAAAACTGTAGTTTTATCAAAGCACTGCAACTGACAAACGCTCACTGAAATCTCCTTTTTAAACGGGTATTACATGGGACCACTGCATATAGGTGACTTCTCAGAACTCTTGCAGTGTGCCTCATCGATCGATAGGTCACCCTTTCACGAGTCCAAACTGCAAGCTGAGAACGCGAGCACAGTCTGCTGGCATTTTCCACCGGTGCGGATGCTGTGAAGCTTTTCCTCTGAGAAAGTTAATACCTTAAAGGGCCCACAAGAAAACATATGGGAGGACTTAAGTGAGAGGGGTGACCAGAAGTTGATAATCTGTACAAATCCTATTTTTGTTATGCTGAATTTACATTGTTGTCGTTGTTGCCAGAGTTGCTTGAAAAGGACAATGGGATATTGTTTTCATGTAAGGACAGCTATCTTTTCATTGCGTGAGGCTAGATGTTGCTCTCACCTCTGCAGTTTTGATGTTTGGCAGGACATGGTCCTGAATTAGAACTTCATACGAGTTTAGAGTCTGTAGATAGAGCAGCGGTAACCATAGGCAGGCCGTGCTTTCTGAACCAAGTGATTTCTCATGAGACTTACACCGCAGCACAGTGTAAAACCCACAAGCCTACACACTAAGCTGTAAGTCTTGCCGCCAGTTTTAACAAAGACTGGAAGTACAGTCCTGACTATGCAACCCAAGAAAATCTGTCCTTGGCACCTTCACGGTATCAAAAAGGAGAAAAAGAGACATAATGAAATGAAATTTAATTTCTGAACAGGGGAACAAAAGTTTCACCAAATGCTGCTATTGAAAGTGCTGTTACCATCTCATATTGCCAATGCAGCTGCAAATCAAAGCTCAACTATATCATCTTTCAAGAAAGTCAGCTCAGCCAATGGGCTGCAATTTCCAACAGTTATTCACTGCAAATAATGGACTTTCTATGCTCATTCTTACAAGCAGCAGCTGGAGTTTGCTTTATAAAAATGAAGAGGCAGATAAGAGCGTGCTTAATAGTTTCATTATAACACAAGTTGTATTAAGTAGGGGGAAAAAAAACCTGAAACAGTAATACACACATAAAAAAGGACCTTTAGGATGTAAATCATTAAAACAAACTTCTGTATATTTCTGTACATCAGAGCTTAAGTACCGTAAGCCAAAACTGCAAGTTCTTGGTATGTTAGAGAGACAACAAAGACAGCAGTTTTGCTTGAGGAAAAGCTTTGTAAAAATGGATACACAAAAACTAAGTCCATCCCACAAAAGGACAAATACGGTGAATGCAGGAGTCAGCAGTCTCTTCAAGGAATTACTGCAAATTCGCCTGCACTGTAACAATGGCTTGTACGTTTTTTCTTCCCTTCACAGTGAGCCCGTGTCTAACATCAAACCAAACTGTTCTGAAAAAACATACCGGATTTGGGTATGATGAGGAGTACAGATGCACCCACACATATGCAGAACTTCCTACCTGCTCTCCACTAGGAGAGCTGGCTGGCTTCAGCTGGCTACAGCTTCTTCATTTCTGTAAGACTGGGCTCGTAGCTATGGATAGTTATATGCAAGAAAATATAGTTCATTTGCTTTTTAATTACAGGGAAAATACAACGTTGCTAACATATGATTTGTGTTATAAGAATATTTGGAAGATTCACACTAAAACAGAAACCTGGAACAAACATAAGACTGCAAAAGTGCTTCAGAGTCCCACAGCTGCAGATAGGTGTGTGTGTTTGGTATTGATGCCACCGAATGATCACCTTGAAACCTCAGGTGCCTACCTTCATAAAGCTGAGCATACTGTGGGAATCCTGCGGCTCGCAGCCAGTCGCAAGCTTCCTTGGCCTCAATTTCTGGAAGAGAACAGAAACAAGGCACCACGAGTTAGTGAACTGCAAAGCAAGAACTTCCTTTCTACCACTTCTTTTATTCCTGTTGCCAAATGAGCAGAGAGATATTCAGCTACTTCCAGCTGAAACACAAGTTTGCTGTTCCCAGTCTGCTTTGCTTTTCGCTACCGAACATATCTAGTTTCTGGAATGCCACTAGCGTTCACCTGCGATTTATCAAATGCTCATCAATTTAATAGCTGGAGAAATAGACATCGAGGAAGACTGCAGGAGTTATGGATTATTCTGTGAAGGTTTTGTTAACACTAGAGAAACCACTGCTACCATCAACATGAGCAGCATTTGCTCATTAAGTCATACAATCCTCCCGGCACAACTATTTTGTCTTGTCAGAAATTCCTAGTAGAGCTTATAATACTGTGTGCTTTAACAGCTTGTAGACAGTACTAATAAACCCAAGCATAAGAACAACTGGCACACTGTACTGCAGCTCACTCAAGCATACATTTATTACCCAGCGAGAACTGAGTTACACTGGAGGTCTTCAAGGCATTTATGGGTTACCTGGTGTATTACAGGAAATCCAGCTAACCTTCCCTCACGCTGCCCAAAAGAACATGCCACAAAATGAAATAATTCGCATATATCTACATGACACTAAAAGAAAGGTACTATTCTGAACATGGTTTATATTAGCTTGTGAAGAACCTACATAAAAATTGCTACCTAATACAAGCAGGAAAAAAAAAAAAGAAATTGTTATCTCAGTAGATCGCAAACTAGGAAAATGTAAAAGATATTTAGAGTATTTTCTAAGTGTTAAGGAAACCGATTGGGACAACTTTGCTCATTCAAGAAAGTGCAACTGTGAATAATCTAGCACCCTACTTAGATCAAACAGACAGTGAGCAATCAGAAACTCTTAAAGTTCATCTGGCTTTGATTATATTCACTCTTCTTGATGGACCAGAAAAAGAAAAGCTTAATTACGTACAACTGACTAGACAATTTTGCCACCTACTTGGACAGGATACTATTGCTACTTGCTGCAGAAACTATGTGCAGTGAGTTTAATACGATTGCTCAGAATACAAGCTACTGCATATAGGGCAGCGAACAGCCAAATAAACATAAAACGTCTCAGGATTTTGGCACGTGTTATGAAATATTCCCCGTGAGGTACATGTACACAATTAACAGCAGATGAAACAGCGAACTTTCAGGGTCTCCAAAATGACAGCGGTCTTCCCCTAATTTTCCAATTAGCTACAACAGGGTTAGAAGAGTTGTGCTTTGCCAGACTGCTTTGCTAAGATACATATCCAAATCAAGGAGTTAAGGTGAGCCAAAGCACAGCATTCCAGATAAATAAACAGCTCGAAACCCACTCTCGCTGCAGTCGAGACAAGCAGGCGTTTGTGCAACTTGTGTTTGCTTCAGCTTTGGGTTATGGGACCACATGAGAGCAAGCACGTACAGGCATATTTACTTAGCTACTCATTAAGAAAAAGCATTCTTCAATTCCAGCTGCAAGGAATTGTAAAGTTATGCTTAAAATTGGATTTTAATTTCGGTAGATTCTGAAAGTATGTGGGAAAGATAATGAAGAAGGCAAAAAAGGAGCATAAAATATATTTAAAAGAAAACTTGTACTACCAACAGTGAGAACAAACAACAGAATATTACTAGATTGGATAAAATGAAAATATTATGCTAAAAAAATTCTGCAATTAATTTCTAAGAGTACTTTCAATAAAATGCAGTATTTTACAGGTTAGGTCCTGTGGAAGTCACTGTTTCAAATAAAGAGTTCTACTTGACTAGAAACTGAAGAAATGATTCCTGATAACCAGTACTTATTTGCTGAAAAATGCAGCTAGGTGCTCATAGTGCAATTGACAGAAGTGTCAGATTCCTACCTACCACAGGGCTCTCAAACGTTTTTAAATATTTGTCCACAGGTCCTTTACTGAGCACCCCAGGTGTATAACCTGTAAAACATTTCCAGAGCTACAAAATTATAAATATGCATTTATCAGACTTTTTTTGAAGGTTCTCAATAGCAACTTTGGGTATCTTTTCTGAAAATACATGTGTAAGTTATGGGGCAGTCATATTTTATGGGCATCCAGATGTCAGGTGCCTCTGGGATTTCTGAAACATATTTGCCTTTCACAATACCTTTGAGAATCCTACAAGAAGCCTATCTAGATCTTTAGACAGTGAAGTATCTAACTTATTCTTGGCTGGCCACAAGAGTTGCAAATAATAAAACACCAATGTACCCCCTAATCAATTAGATTATGCAATGCCTAGGGCTGGGTACAAGACAGCATCAAGCATTTGAAAGCAGTATTAACTTGCTAACAGACAACACCATTGCCAATTTCTGTCTCAAACATTTTGGGAAACCCACAGCTCCAACCTCTGGCTCCTGGTGCAAGCACTCAGGTGCGCAGGGGGTCTAGGAAGTTGTCCTGAAGCAGCAGCTGCGCGTCACCTCCTTCCACACCACGCCTGAGTCAGAAGGGGACATGGCAGCGGTGTAGGAGACTGCAGAGCCCTATAGATCATAGAGCCTAGCCAAAACATAAAAAAAACCTAGCTCCTTAGCTCAACTCCAGCTGGCCGAAATCAGAACTGCTCCTAGAACATATCAATACAGTGTGACCAGACAAACAGAAAGGTGACTCCAAACCCAGCTCCCCCCTCTCAGCCCTGCTCGTTACAGAGGAGCCAGAATAGGAACAAAAATGTGTATGCATGTGAAATTTAGGCAGATCCAAATACAGCTAAAGCGAGAATCCAGCAGAGTCTATGCCTAGTAGACTGCACAGTAACCTCAGCACACAGAACAAGCTTCCTGAAATAAGAGATTTAGACTTACACACCTGAAAGCTTGGACAGGTAAGAAGTTCACTCCCAGAAGTTAATTGGAATCTGCCTTTGAGAATAAACTAAATTAGTTAAAACAGGGCTAGGTAATAGGCAAATCATTTAAGCCAGCCTGGAAGAAAAAGCTCATTCCCACACTTCCCAAGTATCAGCTTTTCTTCCAGCTCAGAAGCATCAGCCCTCCAACTCTTGGTTTTCCAGTAGCCTTGGTTTCATATGCAGGTGGACATCAGCAGCACGCACAGGTCCTCATCATCTGAATCAATGGCATTTGGGATAATGAGAGACAAACATGAGAGGAAGGACAGACCTTCCAAAATCTTTTTCTCCATTACTGTATTGATACAGTTTTAGATGGGACAGGACACCTGGAAACGTTCATGCAGTCTCCATGGATCTGTCTTACAGATCATGACCTGAGCTACGAACTCGTTTCTCTGCATCGCATGTGTTTGGTCAGGGCTCTCAGGAAGTGGGGAAGGTCACTTGCAAAGGACTTCTAAACTGCTTTCCAGCCTGGTTTACGGAAACCCTACTAAAGCCCTAAGCATCTGCCATGATTTGCAAAGCCGTTCCCCGTCACGGGCACACTTCATACAAAGACCTGGCAGCTAAGCTGATGCAACTTGCTGCTGCCAAGGGGTTGGTCTCACTCCCTCCTCTTTGCTCCTGCAGGGCCACTTCCTTTTTAAAGCTAGCCACAACAACAGACTCAACTCCTAGTGTCAATTGAAACCTTTACAATAAACTACAGTTCAGTATATATTCCAGGCAAGAAACGTATGTGCAGCTTTACAGATGTATATCATGTGCTGTCTCCTGTCCCCCAGCTGCAGACTCTTACATGAAAGAATTTCTAGCAAGAAAGAAATTACACTATTATTTTCAAATGTCTTGATATACAAGAAATTCTCTTAGAAGGTAAAACAAAGTAAAAACAAAAAAGGAATACAATGAAGTCTTTATTCTTTGGTGTTGTATAAGCAAACAGCAGGCAAGTGTGTTAAAGAGGAAACAGGAAATTTTTATTGGAAACAGCTTTATTTGCTAGCCTGTTTCACAAAGCAGGCCTACATGTTTAAAAGAAGGGTAGGAGTTCCTTTTGTGCAGGGTTGGGAACCATTAGTCCTTATTTACCCACTTCCTGGGGGGTTAGGATGAACCCATTCTTCCCATTTTCACTTATAGTTTGGAGAACTCCTAACCACCTTCTTTTTGTTTAACTTCAGCTGGAAGCTTATAGTTTTAAAACTTCATAGCAAAAATATCTCAAAATACACCTTGGTCAATACTGCAATTACAGTTGAGAAAACTCAAGATGTATACAGTCTTTGGTTGAACAGTACTTACTATAAAACAAAAATAAAAACTTGCACATTTTGATGTTGTACTAACGTCCTTTCGGGAACGGAAAAAAGAAAAAGCAGTCAGCCTCTGTCTTCTGTTTTCAGCAGAAATAAAAAGATCTCTTCAAAAGGTAAAAAGGTTGTTTCGTTTCGCTTTGTTTCTTTGCTTTTTGCTTCCATGAAATAGTAAGCAACTTAAGCACTGGCACTTTCAGAGTCCTCGGGACAAGGTGCAAACCAGACGCATCTTCATACAGTCATGCATTTGTTTCATTTTCACCTAAGTACTAAACAACATGAACAACTAGTTCTTCCAGGAGATGGTTTCCTCTTGACTCAACTCAGACACCTTTATGTCCATATTAACACCTCCATACACACATCAGTTCTACTGATCTCACCTTTTTATTGTGTTCAGGCAGTGGATTTGAAATGTCTGTAATGAGACTTTTCAAATCAATGCTGTTTTAAATAAATAAAATTTCAGCAAATATAGGCTTCACTGCTGAAGGTCCCATTCTAATGCTCTAACAACCAGGTTGGCTTTTTTTTTTTGTTTTATTTTTTGACCAGGTTTTTCATTGTAGTTGAAATTCACTGTCTTTCTTTTTCAGAAAAGGAAAAGAAGCTCAGAAGCTTGTCCTCTTGCTATAATTGCATCAGAAATTACTTGTCCCTACATATAGTGCCCCTCTGAAATTTTTGGTGCTCTGCAAAAATTTATGGTCAATTCTAAAACACTGTTCCTGAGCTGCTAAGAAG